AAATTTTCACTTTTCTTATAGAGCTTTTCCGGTGATCTTATGATTAGAAACATCCAGCTTAATCACGGTGGGAAGTACGTTTGTCTCATCGATACAGACGTCGAGAGTTTGTCTGCTGACGCAATATTGGTTGTTAAAGGTAGGAACAAATTGTTTTCGGTTTATATGTCCACATGCACAATATTTGCCGTCTGCGCCCATTGTTATGTATATATATATATATATATATATATATACAACCATCTTCCGCAGTGAAGACCTTCTTGCGAGGTGTGTATTTCAATGAAAGGGCACTGCTAATGTAGCAAGAGTTCAGAGAGTGCTAAATGTGTCACTTGGTATGTTTTATGGAGCCTCGTCTTCGCTGCTGTTTTCGTGAGTCACATTGGTATTCATGGCCATTACGCATCACGGTTCTGTCCCAGGTGTTTGGAGAGGAGCTGTTTATCATAGAGGATGTCTTTAATTGGCTCATTTACACATCGACTAAGCAGCACGACGGCCCCCAGAATGCAGTGCAAATGAAGAGAAAACATTTAAATGGCAGAGTTATTTGGAGCAGAAATGCGAATCATTTAGTTGCGCATATACAAGCGTACACACATACTGTACACACACCTTGTTGCCCTTGCTAAAACTCACGCAAGCATGCCTAAGCACAAACTGCTCGCCATGTCTAACACCTTAGAACACACACTCCTAAACAAATAGTTGTCTTCTTATCAGTGTGAGACAGTTTCTAAGTCATCAATATGCACAATGCATGGACCCAGTTTAACGTTTGAGCAGGTGTGGAGTATAATCAAACACCTAATTAATTCAATTCCATATGGGCTGTGTGATCGAGTCAGGTCCCCCCAGCCCCCCCACTGTTTTGTTTACTACACACATACTGAAGCGCGGATGACGCTCGCGGTGTTTTCAGCTTCTGCCATCTCACTATATGATGATATTAACACGAATGTCATCTCCAGCTGCTCTGAGAGTCACTTCATTAGCATTTTACCGTTTCATTTGAGAAAACTACCGTCATATCACATACACAGCAGCTGCAAGTTCTTCACGGCAACCCGTCAAAATAAAAGTTTAACGTTAAGAAACTGTCAGAATATATTACTATTTAGCAGTCTTAAGAATCAGTGCTACTACTGCTAATAAATATGAATACATCTTTATTTTTAAAGGAATAATCACATCGGTTTTCTTTTTAATTTTAACAGTAAACCTTGTTTGCCAAAAAAAATAAAAGGGTTTAATTTTCATAAGGGTTTAATTTTCATTTGATTAGGATAAATTAAATTAATGTTTTATGCCTTCATCTGATTACCAGAAAAAATAAGAACATTTTCTAGGGCCCTATTATTGTTTAAAAAAGGACCCATACAAAAAAAAGTATAGGTTTAAAATACAGGCATGTGGCTTAATTTCTTTTTATTAATTCACCAATTGTAAACTGATGTTAACTGTTCATTTGTTCGAAATATCAATAAGATTTGTATTAAAACTATATTCACTGAATGTAATCAAAAAAGCGAGAATCGAATCGAATCGAATCGAGAGCTTGCGAATCGAAATCGAATCGAATCGGGACATCTGAATCGATACCCAGCCCTAATATATATATTGATTTGAATTAGAATTTTAGTTTAGTTTTTTTATGTGCTTTTGTCATTTTTATTAGTTTTTCATTTTATTTAGTTTATTAGTTTTATGTAATTTTAATATATATAGACATTTTATTTTCAGAATTTAAAAGCTGCTGAAAACAGTTGGGTTATTTAATATTTTTGTGGAAACCAAATTTTAAATGTTTGCTATTTTTATTTATTTTATGATAATTTTAATTACTATATATATATATATATATATATATATATATAAGTATTCAGACCCCCTTAAATTTTTCA